TCCGTCGGTAGGAGCCGTGCGCTCCCCGCAGTGACAGCCCATGTGGGACCCTGCGAGCGCTGCGGCTTCGGGAGGAAGGGACGGGCTGAGGGCTGCGGCACCGGGGCGAGGAGTTCTCGGGATGGCAGCCGTCACGGGGGAGAGAGCTCCTCAGCAAACTTCCGAATTGATATGGGATGTGCCGCTCGTGGCATGAACGAACCCTGTTGGGCAGCGTGGGCCAAGTGCCCGGGTCTCGCTCCTCCTCACCCCCGCACCCGGCGAGCTCGAAAACACCGAGACCTCGAAACCCGCACCCCATCGCTGGCTGTAAATGAGTATTTTCACCGATTCAGGCACTGGGGCCTTCTAAAAGTGCAGCTTCCCTGAGCCTTAGAAGAGAAATTAGTCCTGTGTCTCAAACCAGGACACCTCTCCTGACGCTGAGCGTGTGCTGGCTAAAGCAGCTGTAGGGTCGGAGCTCTGGAAGCCTCTGCGAGGCTGTGCCAAGCGCAAGAGCTGGTGAGGGTGGACACTGGGGAGCATCATCTGGAGAAGGGGCTAACGGAGCGGAGGACTTCTGTGGGGCTAGAGGGTGGGCTAACGCAGTGCAGGGTGGATGGCACAGCATTTTCCGTAGATGGGAGACAACGGAGGAGGAGGAGTAGTGCTTTATGTCAGGGAGTGGTTGGGAAGGCAGAGAAGACCTGCAAGGAGGAAGCAGAGAGGAGGAGGAGAGGCAGGGAGCAGACTGGGGAGGGAGGTGGTCCGTCTGCTCGGCGTGCACCTTGACTCCCACCGGTCCAGCGGGCAGTAACCACTCCGTGGCTGAAGCACTCCTCATCTTCCTGGAGGCTCTGCCAGAGCCGGTGATCTGCTACGAGCTGTACCAGCGATGCCTCGACTGGTCACACAACAGCCGGCTGTGCCGACAGGTACGGTGCTGCCTCTGTCTCCGTCCGCTTGCCGCAGGCTCAGGGCAGCTCTCCCTGCTGCCACGAGCGCCGCCTTGCTCCTGGGGCTGCCACGGAGCAGCGGAAGGGGGAAGGCTGCTGGTCTGGTGTCCAGTGTGCCCCAGCGCGCCCAGGCTGCCGCGGTGTGAGCTGGGAGAGCTTCCCGTCTCTGCTCTCTTTGCAGGTGATTTTTCAGCTGCCTCGTTGCCATCGCAGCGTCTTTCGGTACCTAATGTCGTTCCTCCGAGAGCTGCTCAAATACTCAGAAGACAACAACGTCAGTGTCGCCATGATCGGTAAGTGTGTCGTTTCTCTGCTCCGCTCCTGCTGCCCTCGCTGAAACATAACCCCTTCCTGGCGCCTTGGCAAGGTCTCCGTTTCTGAGCAGTTAACGAATTTTGCCTCCCTCTACAGCCGCCTTGTTCTCCAGCCTCCTCCTGCGCCCTCCGCCCAACCTGATGGCAAAGCAGACTCAGCAGGACCGCCAGCGTGCCACCAACTTCCTCTACAGCTTCCTGCTTGCCGGGGATGAGGAGTGACTCCTGCCCGTGTGCCAAAGCTGAGGCCCGCGCTGCCAGCCTTGCGCTGAGGCCGGGCCTCCGACAGCTCCAGAAGGGTAAAAAGGCTCTGAGCTACTCCAAGTGCCGTGTTTACAGTAGGAAGGGATGTGTTCCCCTCTCCTTCCCACCGCTGTACCCTGCGCTGCAGAGGACCTGCGCACTCATTGCACTGCCATCCACGCCGGGAGCCTCCTGCTTTCTCCCCGGGAGCTGGGTGGATCTGTTGATACCCAAGCACTGTGCCAGCGACCCCATTGTCCCGTGGCAGTGTCACCAGTTCCCCGAGTCACGCTACTCTCTCCTTTTCACCCCCATCGTCCCTGGAGCTGTCGTGGGGAAGGGTGGAGACTGCCGGTGCTCTCGGAGGGCCGTGGCACGGCTGGCTGGTGGCACGGCGTGTCCCTGCGGGTACGAGGCATGCGTGCTGGTGTGTACTGGTCAGAGCCCCGCGCACTGCCCCAGGCTGGTGTTGGGCATCTGTCACCCTCTGCCGCGCAGCAGACCCAGCCGCCCCCGATGCCCTGTCGCTGTGCTATGAAAGCTGGACCGTGGCTGTCCCAGGAACATTGGACATTTGGCCTCTCCCCTTCCTCCTGCCCTGCGAGGCTCCAGCACACGGGTCTCTCCCTGCACTGCAGCTTTCTGCCCCCGTCGCCCCAGCCTTGCTCTCCTCTCCCTTTCCTGTGCCCCGGCTTCCGTCTGGGACACGGGGGATGGCGGGTGACGTGGAGGGAGCTGGGTCAGGCAGGGCGGTCCCTGCGGGGCACGGAGCAGGACGCAGCTCCTCTCCCTCCCAGCCCTGCCTGCGGAGCCCTGGG